TAGAAGAACAAACATTAGAGAACCAGCAATGTTTCCAATAAGGGTCAGAAAACCATAATCATCTCTTCAGCTCATTTAGTCCCATATTTCTAATTCTTATTCCGTTTGAATGCAGGTTTTTAGTTCTGGAAACTCTTAACCCCGTTCAAGTTTCATGAAAGATATTGACTACCTGTGTTTGTCAAAAGCCCTTTTTATGAATCTCCTTGAAGACAAAATGTGTTTTGTAAGAGCATCAGAACAACAGCTGTAAAAGACAACACTCAGAAATGGACATTGTTAACCATCTGATATGAGGTTCATTATGATGTAACTCATGAGAAAAGTCAGTTATTTCTGTGACACATAACATCTCAATAATCAGAATATCAAGTGATGACCTTCTACCAGAACATAAAATGCCAAACAAGGCTAAATAGGATTACAGATCAGCAAAGACCTGATAAAGACAAAACTAGAAACTTTGGTTTTCCGGGCAGATAAAGAGAAAACAATGTTGTTTACAATTTGTTGTCAGGAACAGACCAACAATCCAAGGAAACTTGGTCTTTTCGCCAGAAAGCAGAATAGCAGCGGAGTTTTAAAATCCAATCCATTTTAAAAACCTTGGCCACACATAAAATTCACATAAAATTCCTCTCCAAGGATTTCCCTTCATGAACCTTCTACAACTTTTCTTCCGTATTCAGATTTTGTCCCAAGACGTTTCCCTCCAAACAACCAGTCTCATTTAGGACAAAATTACCTTTTACCTTCAACAAAAATGTTTTTCCATTCCTTAGATCTTTCTTACATGGCTCCTACTTTCCTACATACAGAGCTGTTTCCCTTGTTTCCATGAGTCTTAATTACATTTAGCAGAATTCTGCCCTCTTAGAAACCTTAGTCTCCAGTGAAAACTAAATAGCAACCAATTGTGAACTGTTATACCAGAATTCTTCAGATGACAAACTTATGGATACATTTAAGCACAAAGCATGTTTTCCAACAGACCCAAATATCCTTAGTTTCTTTGCAATAAGAAGTCAAAAGCAGATAAATCTTCTGTTCAGTAATCAATGCTTTCGCACTTTATCTTATTTGGAAAAGACCTAGATGTCCGATGAATTCAATCCAGTTTAGCATCCAAACAAAACTTGAAAACGTTCAGATTGCCGAAGACTTTGAAAGTTATCTTAACAGTTACCCATGGGGGCACCTGGGTCGCTCAGTTGGTTGAGTGTCTGACTTTGGCTCAGGTCGTGATCTCGCCGTTCGTGGGTTCGAGCCCCATGTCGGGCTCTGCGCTGACAGCTCAGAGCCTGGAGCCTGCTTCGGATTCTGTGTCTCCCTCTCTCTTTGCCCCTCCCCTGCTCATGCTCATGCTCTCTCTCTCTCTCTCTCAAAAATAAATAAGCATTAAAAAAAATTAAAAACAAACAAAAAACACAATTACCCATGAAAGCTTTGAGGCAGACAAAATTAACCATCATTTTCAGTCATCTTTTTGCTGACAAATTGTGATGGAGATAGCATAGACAGACGTACTTGACCCAAGGAAACCTTGGTAGAATAAAAGTTTCATATTTAATGCTGATAACTCTAAAGACATGCTCTATCTTAATTAAACCAACAAAATTAGTTTAAATACTGAACTGAGTTCCACCTGGGTCCACTTAAAAGTCAATCAGTTTGCTCCCCCTTCTCAGTTTTTACCTGGAGCACCGGTGGGGAAGTCTGAAGGGGGTGGTCTTCACCCCTTGACAGGGAGGGTGGGAGGAGGAGCTGATTTGGGGCCAAGAAGGCAAGCAAGACACATTCTACGGTTTTTGTGGAGGTCGGAGTTTGGGGACAGTGCCGCGAAGGCACGTATGGGACTTGCAGCCGTTTGGAGGAGTTCCGGCAAAGGAGGACAAGCTGGAAAATAAGAAAGAGCTCCGTGGAGGGGCCACACCTCTTCACCTGGGAGTTCGTACTGAGGCCAGGAAGCAAAACAAGGAGATGTTTTTTCCCCAGACGTTGGGGTCAGATGTGTTCCCGTTTTTTTTTTTTTTTTTTTTTTAATTAAAAAAAATTTTTTTTTTTCAACGTTTCTTTATTTTTGGGACTGAGAGAGACAGAGCATGAACGGGGGAGGGGCAGAGAGAGAGGGAGACACAGAATCGGAAACAGGCTCCAGGCTCCGAGCCGTCAGCCCAGAGCCCGAGGCGGGGCTCGAACTCACGGACCGTGAGATCGTGACCTGGCTGAAGTCGGACGCTTAACCGACTGCGCCACCCAGGCGCCCCTATGTTCCCGTTTTTAAGAACACGGCCCGAGGGTGAGTCCGAAGAAAGAGGGGGGGTCCCACGGCGGGAAAGACTGGCTGCCTGTTCCAAAGGGGGGTCCCGCCAAAGGGAATGGAGCCCCAACTCGTGATTTCGGTCAAGCCGTCTGCTGGCCTGGGAAAGCACGGGACCTATACGAGGTGAGCGAGTCTTCTGGAGGCACCCCGCCTCGGAGGGGGGCACAGCAGAGGGTACACCACGGCCTGTCGGGGTGTCTCCCGGCAACGGGGAGGCCCGGGCACCGTTGGGCCAGAACCGGTTGGGAAAACAAGGGGAGGACGCACCACTCAGAGACCTGGGAACAGGCGTGCGCACAGGCCCAGGTGGCGGCTGAGAGCGTCAGCAAAGAGTTCCCACCGAGTCCGTGACGTGCGTGGGTTCGCCCTGGGCAAGCTGCCAATGGTGCTGGGCTTTGGGAACAGACCTGTGGGACAGAGTGAGAAAGCAGAGGAAGCGGCCCTTGGCCCTCGTGGGCCCGGGCAGGCGGGCTTGTTCGCCCTCAGACCTTCAGACCACTTAGGGCCCCCTCCCCCGCTGCCCTGAGACCTTCGGTTGTCTGGGCCGTCTTAGGATCAGGCTGCCAAAGGCCGAAAAGAACAAGGAGAGGAAGGGAAAGGTCCCTCCATGGGGCAAAAGGAAACCCTTCTCCCTTTCAGGCAAGGTGGGGGATGGTCCGGGGTTCGCATCCTCATCGAGGGGTAGCCTCGGCCACAGGTGGTCAGTTCCCCAAGGACCTAGAGTCCATCCACCAGGGAAAGTCCCGAGAGAATCCTGAGAAATCCAGGGAGAGTCCCGGGGGTGGCAAAGTCTCCTCATGCAAGGTTCCCCCAAATGTGGGGGGCACAAAGTCTCCCCGTATGGGCCCCCAAATGTGGGCAACATCAGCTGGAAGCAGGTGGCTGGTCGGGAAGGGTGGGGAGGAATTCACTCGAGGCAGAACAAAGGAGATGGAAGTTTCCTGCATACACCGCAGGGGGGCAGCGGTCAGGGCAGGACCGCAGAGGAGAGGCTGTCTGCCACCAGGCAGCGGGAAGGGACCGCTTTTAAAGGGGGAAGGTGAGGGGTGTCTGGGTGGCTTAGTCGGTTAAGTGTCCAACTCTTGATTTCCACTCCGGCCATGATCTTGTTGTGGTTGTGAGATTGAGCCCTGAGTCCGGCTCTGTGCCCTGCACTCAGCGAGGAGCCTGCTTGGAATTCTCTCTCTTTTGGTAACTGTGCCTAGTCCATTGGTCAGTTGGGGCCTGATATTTTGGGGCGGGTCGCCTGGCGGGCAGGTCTGAATTCAACCGTGTGGTTGCTGTGGTCTTTTCTGTATCCCGTCCCTCAAGCCTGTTTCCTGAAAGCAGCCTCCACGGCCGGGACCCCAGAACCCTGTGTGGATGGAGAGAGAAGGAGCATCCGTCCATCAACCTGGCCTTCTGTCTGTTTCTCCTTGTCTGCCTCTGTGGAGGACAAGCCAGCTCGGGCCAGCCCTTGGCCCATGGGCACACCAGTGACAGGGTCCCCCCGCCCCCCCCAAGAGACAGCTCTGTACAGGTCATGACGATGGGTGACCCACCTTATACTCAGCACATGAGTGAGCCCTGAAGTTCGCAAAGTGCGAGACAGTATTTGGCTCACTGGTTGTAAAAAGTACACGTGACACTAACACGTGAACTCTGCGTGTTCTGCCCATTTCTCTGTAACCCTAAAACCGCTCAAAGACAAATCAGAAAGTCTGTTTTTTTTAAATCAAAAGGTCAACAAACACTCTGGCAAGCGATGTTAAAATACTTTTTTTTTTGTAAATGTTTATTCATTTTTGAGATACAGAACGCAAGCGGCAGAGGGGCACAGAGAGAGAGACCGGGGGTCTGAAGTGGGCTCTGCACTGACAGCAGTGAGCCCCACACGGGGAGCCGTGAGATCATGACCTGAGCCAAAGTCGGACGCTCAACCGACTGAGCCACCCACGTGCCCCTTAACATACTTTTAACTGGGGGCACACAGCTGGCTCGGCCAGTGGACCGTGTGACTCTTGATCTTGGGGTTGTGAGTTCGAGCCCCACGTCGGGTGTAGAGATTACTCAAAAATAAAACCTTTAAATAAATAAGTACTTTTAAACAGTTTAAACTAATCAGGAAAAAGGTCACATTTGATGGAGGCCAGGAGTGTCCACCGTGGGCACCGGCATGATGGGACATGTGAGCCCCGCGTACCAATGGGGATGTGCCGGTCCCACAGGAGGGCTCCTTGGGCCCTTGTTGACAACAGCACGCCCCCTGAGGGGCTCCCAAAAGGAAGCGGCCGCACCCAGCCACGGAAAGCACAAGGGTGGAGAGGGCAGGGGCGTCGGAAGCGGTCTCGGGACGGCGTTCGATCCCAGTGCTGTAGCAGACTCTCCACAGCATCACCCGTTTCCGCAGGGACACGATTGGGCAGGTTTGCACATTTTGTTATAATTATGACGGTGACAGCAGGACTGTCTCCCGGTGACTTCCCTCCTGGCTTGTCCGTGTTGCTCGCGTGTGTGACCGTGGCCAGCACTGCGTGTGTGATAAGGGTACAGAGAAAGGCAGGCTGCGTGGAGAAGATTCAGGCAGGGGCTCTGGCATCGGGGCACAGTGGGTCCCGAAGGAGCTCGGGACCCCTGTCTGTCCCTGGCCAGGCTGCAGCCCGAGAGACCTCTGACCCCGTGTCTTTCCTTCCTCTAGGGAGTGTCCCAAGAACCAATGAGGTTCCCTGCCTCCCTGTGCTGCCTGCCATGCTGTCCTTGACCTTCCTCCTCCTGGTTACCAGGATGCTCTGGCCCATCCTCCCGGCCACCGCCCAGAGTGCTCAGGATGGAAGTAAGTCTCAGGATCCCGTCTTCTGGGGGGTCTGGCAGGGGCGGGGGGAGCAGATCTCCGTCAGGCCCAGGTGGTGACCTACCCCCGAGGCGAGCACCCCTGGGCCGTAATGGGACGAGCCAAGCCCTCCCCCGCCTCCACGGACAGCACACAGTGGTTGCCCGCCCCAGCACCCAGTGACGACCGTCAGAGCACTGGGCAGATGTCCGAGAGCCTGTCCAGTTTCCAGGGAAAGCGCCCTGCTCAGTTAGCGGCAAGTGCTATGGCCGGAGGAGGGACAGCGGGGTGAGGATTTTCTGTCCCAGCTCTGGTCCCCGATCCCCCCTTGGGCCAGCAGCTCCGTTACCACCTGGGAGCTCGTTAGAAATGCAGACTCTCTGGGGCGCCTGGGTGGCTCAGTCGTTTGCGCATCCGACTTCAGCTCAGGTCACGATCTCACGGTCCGTGAGTTCGAGCCCCGCGTCGGGCTCTGTGCTGACAGCTCGGGGCCTGGAGCCTGCTTCCGATTCTGTGTCTCCCTCTCTCTCTGCCCCTCCCCCGTTCATGCTCTGTCTCTGTCTCAAAAATAAATAAACGTTAAAAAAAAAAAATTAAAAAAAAAAAAAAAAGAAATGCAGACTCTCGGGACACGGGCGGCCCTGCAGACTCGGAGCCGTGGGTCCTGCGGGACCTCCCAGCGAGTCCCACCCCACGACCCTAGGTCAGGGCTGTGCGGCGAAATCACCGGAAGGGGCTCGTCAAAGATGCCGGGCCCCAGGCACATCCCACACCCGTGAAACAGAGTCCCCGGCCGCCCTCTGTTCCCCTGACGGTCCTCGAGTCAGCCCCCCATGTGGGCATGGTGATTATTCCTGCAACCTGGGCTCCCGGCCTGGGCTCCCCCCCAACCCAGCAGCCTCTCTGTCGGTGTGGGGGGGGGGCCCTTTCCAGTTGTTCGAATGTTTATCACAGGCGTGTGTCTATGCAGCCCTTTGGTGGTTTTGTAAAGATGGAGAGAAAGCATTTTCCAACCCTTCTGGGGCAAGCACTCTGACGACTGAGGGGACAGCAGGGGTTTTCCAGTCGGGTTCCCGCCACGGACACGCTTGCAGAGGCCCCACTAGCCCCCGCTGGGACACGGGGGATTTCCTGCTGGCTCCCTCGTCCTCTCCCTTGGCCTAGCTGCCCTCACGAGGTACACACCGGTGACTGTGGCCTGTGAGGACCCCGCTGGCCCCGAACGTGCCTGCCTTTCACGAACTCCCACCTCACACACCCTCTCTCTTGTGGGCACCCGAGGCCCCGGGCACACGCCCACACGTGGCACCCGCCACGCCGTGTTGTACTCGGTTAACGGCGCGTCACCGTCTGCTGTCTGCCCATGTGTGTCCGGTCCCTAGAGGGAACTGGTGTGGCGGGATGGGGGGCCTGGCTCATCGCCCTGTGCTGGTACTTGGGGCCCCCGGGGTCAGAGTTCACCCAGATTGCAGGGTGAGGCCGGCGACGAGTGAGTTCATTCCCAGACTCAGCCTTCCCCAGATTGTGGGCTGGTTGCACCGCCAGCAGGGGTGGGGCAGCTGGGTCCAACATGGCTGGGCGGGTGTCCCGCAGGAGCTGGGGACCTTCCTTGTGGAGAGGAGTGTGCCGACTGCGCACTCCTGGCCCAGGAGCTGGGGACGCCGAGGCGGGCCCCAGGGGACACGGAGGCAGCCTTGCACAGGGCCACCACTTCCCAACACTCAGGTGAGTCGGCAGAGCAGTGACACCTGCCTCCCCCTCCCCCCCGAATCTGCCCGCCAGGACGGGATGCCTCAGGCCAGGTGACTCAGCACCCACATGGCCCTCCCCTCGTTTTCACCCCTGTCTTGTTTTCCCACTTGAGACCCGCTCTTCGCTTAGATGTGTCCTCTGCCCCGAGCAGGGCTCCCGTGTCCCCAGGGGCCCTGTCCCATCACTGACTGCCCCCCACCGGCCCCAGGGAGGGTGGTCAGGAACCTCCTGAGGCCCAGCCGTGACCCACGTGTGACCTGTCCCCTGCTCACAGACTGGGACAACCCCTCCTGCACCGAAGGCGTGGTTTCCGTGTCGAGGGGTGAGAGGGCCGTGATGTCCTGCAACATCTCCAACCCCTTCTTGGGCGTCACCGTCTACCTGATTGCCCTTGGGGAGGATTCCCAGCCCCTCTTCAGGGTGACGCCCCCAGGCTGCTTCTGCCGGGGCGAGTGGCAGCTGCAGGTCTGCGGAGGTGTGGCACAGCTGGTGATTCCGAAGGCGAGCGATGCCCAGGCTGGGTGTTACAAGTGGCATCTCCAAGGTCTGCAGAGGAATATTAAAGTCACCACATTGAACGTTTTAGGTGAGCTGTGCTCCTGTTTGGGAGGGCAGTGCTCCCCTTCAGGAGGGCTGTGCTCCTGTTTGGGAGGGCAGTTCAGGGGAGGAGCAGCTCTCTTCCCGGGGCTGGCGGGGGGAGGGGGGGGGGAGGCGGCCCGGGAAGGGCAGGCCAAGGTTCCAACAAAACAAAGCGAAACAACACAAGCCCCTGCCCCCAAAGGCACTGGGCACCTGATCCTGAAGGGGGCTCGGTGTGGGGGGCTGCCCAGTCCAGGGAGCAGGTGGGGCCCCCGATCCGTCCGCTTCTCCAGCCAGACCAGACCCCCCTCTCCCACCACCGCCTTCCCAACACCGGCCCTGCCCCCCCCCCCAACCCTGTTCCACTCCCTCTCCTCACGTTGCTCAAAGTTCGCAGGGCACCGCACCCCTAGCCGGCTCGGATCTGATCACAGCCACCTGAGCTCTGGGGACAGGGGCGGTGAGGGGGCTGGGAACGGTGCCCCCAGCCCGGCCGGCCCCTCCTGGACTCATCTGATACTTGGGGCTGGGGGGGCAGCATCAGGCGCAGAGGCCCAGGACCTGAACCAGACAGGAGTCCTACCCCTCACCTCTTCCTGCGGTAAGTGTTCTTACCTGCGCCCGGGGAGCCCCTCGGGTCCCCCGGGCTGTCCCCGCCCTCTGGGCCTGGCACCCATGCCACCTCCTGCCTACAGGGGTGGTGTCCCCCTTGAGGGTGCACTCCTGGCGGGAGAATAAGTGACTTCCCCGCCCGCTCCCACAGGCCCGCAGATGCCGTGCCCGGGGTGGGCCGAACGCCAGTTCCAGGTGGTGCTCGTGGTCACCGGTGTCAGTGTCGCCCTCGCCATCCTGGTGGTCACCGTGTTAGCCTGGCGCCAACGGCACAGTCCCCTGTACTTGAAGCCCCCAGGGGTCTGAGGCCACCGGCACCGAAACTCACCCCCCAGCAACGGAGCCCCGCGTGTCCCACACCCATCTGGTTGACAGAAGCCCGTGCACCTCACAGAGGTGGCAGACAGGCGCAGGCCCCCCATCCCTGTCTGCTGGCCCGGGACACCTGCTCGGCCCTACGGCCCAGGGGCCAGCTCCCTTCCCCGGGCGGAGGGTGGCCCCAGGTCGCTTCTCTGGCTCCCCACCCCAGCCGCAGGCTCTTCCCCACCTGGGCCCCCGGCAGCTCTCTGGGCTCCCCGACTCTGTGGTCAAAGATGGGAAAAATCTCAAGCTCTAAAACATTCGACCTCAGAGGACCTCTCCCTCCTCTGCCCCATCAGGGCCGGTGGGGTGGGGTTGGGGGTGTACTTCCGGCCTCGGGTGCACAAGGGGCGGCTGCAGCCTCGGAGGCACCCCGCTTTGGGTCTCAGGTTGATCTTGGGCACACCCCTGTCTTTGACCAGGAGCCAGAACAGCTTTGGGGGACCGTCCTGCCGGCAGTCCTGGGGTCAAGCTGAGGGCATAGAGGCCTGAGGTGGGGAGCCAGCCCCGCCTCCACCACTAGGGGGCTCGCCAGTGGGGGCTGGCGACAGGTGACGGCTCTGCCTGACGGCTCTGCCGTAGCACACGGCTCCCCCCTTCTCTCCCCCCCAGCCACAGGGCCCCTCCCCCACCGCCCCTCTGCTGACCCTTCCCCACCCCAAACCCCTTTATGTCAGATGTCTTTCTGATCGCAACTGTATGACTCCATTCAGTGTGTTCTTAAGAGGGACATACAGGCTTTTTCTAAAGTACACGTTCAGTGCTTTGGAAAACACCCATAACACCAATCCTTCAGATGAATAAAACAAACCAATCGAGAAACCATGAAATGACCTGGGAAATACACATTTTTTAAGTGGGGAAAACAAGTCTAAAAGAAGCTGCTTCCTGTCTTCAGGCACTAAAAAGTCCTAGAACATTCAAAAGGAGCAGATATTCGGGTTCCTCCCTCACTGCGGAGAGCCCCACACGGAGGAGGGCCCTGCGTGGCGCCTTGACTGGGGCCCAGACCTACAAGGAAATTCTGGGTCCGGGTCTTTGTGTTCATTTCCTCCTTGCTGCTTGTGTTTTCAAGGGTTTCTCTATGGGATTCTCTCTCCCTCTCTCTTCCCCTCCTCTGCTGTTGCACATAGGTTCTCTCTCTCTCTCTCTCTCTCTCTCTCTCTCTCTCAAATAAATAAATAAATAAATACACTTTAAAAAAAAAAAAGAAAAAAGTGACCAGGGCAATTGGAGCCTGAACCCCAACCCACCCAGGGCACCCCCTTGGCTTTCCCCTGCTCCTGCCCTGAACCTCGAGCCTGCGGAGACAGGAGTGGGTGACCAGTTGTCTGTGAGCACTCAGCAGGACAGTGCCGAAGGGGGAAGGGAGTAAGGATCGCCCCCTCCCAGCCCGGCTCTCAGCACCTCCCCTTGCCCATGGCACCGCCTCCAGAAAGCCCTCCCAGAATGCCTGGACCACCAGTCACAGCCTCCTGGCCTGGCATTGGGGCTTTTGAGGCGGTGCCTCAGAGGTGGTGGCAGGCAGTTGGGTGCTGCAGACAGGAAGAGAGCCGAGAGAGGGGGCCCTGCCTTTCCCTTGTCGCTGGGTCTGTGGTGGGCACGGCGGCGGCAAGCATGGCCCCAGAGTTCCCACTGCTCTTTGAGCTCCTTACACTGGCCTGCACCCTGCTCAGGGCCCTGGCCACCCAAGGTAAGCCCTCCCTGCGTCTCCCACTGCGCTCCCCCCGCCCCCAGGGGGCCCCCCTCTGGGAAGGGGGTGGTCTGGGGACGCTGAGCATGACCTCCCCACCGAGCCCCCCACCCCACTGTTGGTGCCGTCTCGGGGCAGAATCACCGAGGCCTTGGTCTTTTTCTTTACCTAAATGTCTTGGGGAGTCTCTTTTTTGTAATTAGCAAGGCTGCCTTTGTTATGGGAGGATTTTGTCTATTAGTTTGCTTTTTAAAACAGATACATGTGCAAAGTTCTGCAATAGGATGGAAAGATCCGCCACACACGGCAGGGTGGGGAGACTCAGTAGAAAAAAAAAAAAAGAATCTCCAGAATTTAGTTTGCTGAGAAACTGATGTTTGGATTACATCAAAACAGCTCGTGTTTGCACCAGGAAGCTGGTCCTGCTGGGCCCCAGCTGCACAGATGGGGACATTTCTGGGTGTCCCACAGACAGGCAAAGATGCCACCAGGTCTAGGTGCCTGGAAGTGATGGGGAAACTGAGGCAGCCAGAAAGGAAAGAGAGAAGGAGACGGGACAGTCTCTCTGCTGTCTCCACTGTCAGTCAAGAGAGGGAGAAGGTGTAGGGACAGGAGATGCGGTCGGAGCTGCCCACACGGCCCAAAGGTCCCCTGGGCCCCTGTGTGGGGAGAGGTCACAGGCAGCCCAGCCCCCCGGGGCCCCTTCAGCCCTCGAGGACAGCCACGGGGGTGCAGTTACCCCGGAGCTGCTCCGGGGCAAGATGCCTGGCTGTGGTGACATGACAGCCATGGGCTGCCCCGGGGGCACCTCTGTCCCTCCAGCATCCCCTGCAGTGAGGAGGGTCCCTGCCCTTCTGGCCAGGCCAGCGGTGACAGCAGGGGGTCCTTCCTGCAGAGGTGCGGCAGTACCCCCCCTACGCGATTGCCCCCGAGGGGGGCTCCGTCGACATCACCTGCTCCACCAGTGGGTCCCTGTTCGGGGTCTACCTGAAGCAGAGGTGGCCGAGGCCTAGCAGTGTGATTTACTACGAAGACGAGAAGGAGCCCACGGTGGATGAGCAGTTCCGGGGACGCGTTGTCTTCTCGGGGCAGCAGCACAACCTGACGGTCACCGTGCACCGCCTGCAGCCGGCCGACACGGGGGCTTATGCTTGCCAGGCGGTCATGAAGGACGAGGTCTGGGGCCCCGGCACCTTGGTCGTGGTGACAGGTAGGGGACGTGCCTACCCCGGGACCCACTTCCCCTGCCTGCCGGTCAGACCTGGCCCCCCCTGCCTTCGTCTGGGGGCCTTTCCCCGCTGGTGTGAGTTATTCCTTCCGGCGTGAGCCCACTGCCTCCAGGAAGGCCCCGGGTTGCCCATCCCTCCCCCCCCGAGCGCCCCCCCCCCCCCCCCCCGCCCCGTGAGCCCCGAAGGCTCTCTCGATCTCCAAGCCCGCCGCCCGCCCAGTGCCGCTCTCCACTCCTTCCTCAGACAAGCCGCCCGAGGCAGCGGACACGAGCCGGGAGGCCCCGCTGATACACTTTTCCTTCCCTGTGGCCCTGGCGATGGGCTGCTTCTTCATCGGGCTGGCGCTGGGGGCGACGTGTGTGCTGAGGAGGACACAGGTCAGTGTGAACCCCCGGCTTTCACCTGTGTCGCTGTCAGCTGGCTCCTCTGAGAAGCCCCAGGGAAACCCCAGGACCCTGCAGCCCGTCCACCAGGGTCCCTGGGAGGCCCGAGGGCTTAGACGGCAGGGTCCAAGGTGGGGGGTGGGGGGGGGGGTGGGCCAAGAACGGGACCACGAGCAGGGATGGGCGTGGGCCCAGGAGGAAAACACAGCCATGAGAGGAGGGCGGGGGGAGAGGCTCAGAGAGACGGGCGGGCACGCGTGTGAGCGCGAGTGTATGTGCACACGGGTGAGCACTGGTGTGCGTGCAGTGTGTGTGTGTGTGACCCTGCGGGTTGAGATCAGCGTGGGCAGGTGTGAAAGTGCACATCAGGGGTGCCAGGTGCCAGGAAGGGGTCAGCTCTGCCCTGGTCACTCAGCTCTTCGCGGCCGGCGCGCCTTTGCCCCGTCCACGCCTTGGGACAGCGCACCCCCTCCCCAGGCCTCTGAAGCAAGGTCCACTGCCCCCCCACCCCCCGGCCTGGGGCAGCTCCAGGGACCTGGGGGGCTGGCGGGGGCGCCTTGGGAGCTGGCCTCATGCCTGGAAGCCCAGCGGCATCTCCAGGGTCAGTCAAACAGCCCCCGAAGGGGGTGCGCACTGGAGACGGGGGACGCCCCAGAGCGAGCAGGACCCCGGACAGAGAGGAGGGGCTTGTCTTTCAGATCAAGAAACTCTGCCGCCTGAAGGATAAGAACCCGGCGTGCGTGGTGTACGAGGACATGTCCTATGGCAACCGGAACACGGTGTCCATCCCCAACGTGTACCAGTGAGCCCCGCGGGCCCCCCAGGCTGCCTAGGTGCAGCTCGCGGAGGTCCGCCTGACCCGGAGAGGTCGCTCGGGCAGATCCCTGCGGCCGTCGGGCTCCCGGCACCTCCTCCAGGAGGCCTTCCTTGCTTACTTCCTGCCTTGCGGGCTGCCCTGCTCTGCTGGTTCTGACACCTCGGGGCCACCAGGGAGGAAGCCTCTCTGACCTGCTGCCCTTGCCCTCAAACGGCGAGGGGGAGGGGGGCCCCTCTGCAGGATGGACTTGGGCCCTGGGCCTGGGAGAGGGGCAAGAGGGAGGGGTCGCCCAGCCCCTGAAATAAAGCACTTCTTCTCCCCCGTCCCCGACTCCAGCATCTATTCTCAACCAGCTGACAGCCCAGGAGGGGCTGACACCCTCCCCAAACACCTCCTGGGACTTCTGCAGCCTGTGTGACTCTGCGTGACACCTTGAGGAAGGACATGAGCAAGGGGGCCCTTCCCCACTCCAGGCCCAAGGGGGCCCCTGTCACCCTGGGTGGGCTGCAGAAGGGGCAGATCAACCAGGGCCCTCACCCACCCCCTCAGTCCCCTTCACCTGGCCTCACCTGCCTCCATCACACAATGAGGTGGGGGTGGAGGAGGGGCCCGGCAGCAGTGACTCGGGGTCTTAACTAAGAGCCCTTCCCTACGTGCCCTCGTGTTGGGGGGCGATGGGAACTTGGGTATCTAGGTTTGCTCTCGGGTGGGAAACAAGGCACCCCCAGTATGGGTGCGAACCGTGACGTGTCCTCTTAGACTCTGAGCTGAGAAACAGCAGACCGTGCCCCCCCCCCCCCCCCACCGTCCTGTGCCCTCAAACCCCCATCAGAGTTGGCAACACAACACTAATATGGTTGACTATACTGGTCGAAAACCTCGCTCTATAAAAACCCTACACACATAAATACATGACAAGCATCTACAAACCTGGGGGGGAGAAAGATTACTGAACGAAGGTTAATATGCTTAATTGATGAAGATCCTTATCAATTAATGGAAAGAAAACAAACATTCAGAGAAAAATGAGCAGAGAGCAAAAATGAGTGATGAACACAGGAGACCATTCAAATTGCTAGTTATCAATGAAATATCAGCAGAAATTAAATAACCCGCCACCCCCTACGTTGGCAAAGATTAAAACGTCATTAAGGTATGATGTTCCTTTTACTTGGAAACCCCGCTTCTAGAATTGTGTCTTTGGCTGGTGGGACGTGTGCTCCCCAGGCGGGAAGTTACCAGGACACCTCGGGCCAGGGCGGGCAGCCTGGGACACAAACTCAGCAATTTTTCTGGAGGCCACCAGGGACCTGCCCCTGGGACGCAGACGGCAGTCAGGAAGACCGGCAAAGAGACACCAGGTCCTGGTGTCCCAGCCTCCCAGGGACCCCCGGAGGAAGTGCAGACTGCCCTACAGACCCGGGGATACAACAGGTGTCTATTGGTCGTCCCCACTCCTGACCACTCGGCAAGTCCCACCCCTCTGGGCCTCAGTGTCCCCTCTGTAAATGAGGGGAGCGGGGTCCATGCTCTCTTCCAGAGCTGGACTCTGTGGTGTCCAGGCCAGGCTGGACATGCTTCCCACCGCCCCCCACCCCTGCAGCTTCCAGGCGCCTGCACCCTTTCCCTGCTCCCCACCCTTCAGAAGCAACTTCCTGGAGGTGGAAATCATCACCTCCAGGCAGCCTCCGGAGGCCCTTGTCACCTGAGGAGATCTCAGCCTGACCTCACCCCAGCAATCAGAGGCTGTGCCTGAGTCACAGCCCCACCGTCCTCCTCCTGGCAAGAACCCCTCCTGGTGACTCCCCTCTGTGCTCAGGGCCATGTTCCCACATCCTCCACCCTCCTCATGATTGTCCCATGACCGGCTGCTTCTCTGTCCACCCTCCAGACCATGGCGATTGCAGGGCAGGGCTGAGTCCATGTCACCCACTCTTCCCTCTTCCATGTCACCCACTCCCCCAGTCCTTCCCGAGCATTCCTGTGTGCCGGGCATGTTGTGAAATACAGATAATAGATAGAAAGATGATAGATAGATAGATAGATAGATGATAGATAAGTAGATAGCCGATAGATAGATAGATAGATAGATAGATGATAGATACTTAAACATGATATGCCTGGTTTATTCCTCTCATGACAAATAACCAGAGCACTATCCAAGTCCTGGTTCCCCACTGTCTACCTCTGTGCCTGAACCTCTCAGGCTTCAAATTCCTCACCCGTAAAATGGGGACAAGGACTGCCCCATGTGGTGAGGTGCCACGAGAAACAAACACCACAGTAAAGCCTCAGAACGGGCCTCTGCAGAGCAAATGCTCTGCCCACCACGCAGGTGTGGGCTCAGACCACAGAAGCTCAGACCACGGAGGCGGAGGTCTGGACGGCAAGAGGCAACACTACAGCTCCCACCCCCAGGCCACTGCTGGGGGCAGTGGGGAGCAGTGAGAACAGGCACCACAGGGTGTTGACTCCTTCCCACACTGGCCTTCAAAGCCAGAGGATGGCCACTCATGCTCCCCAGAGAGCCTAGTGCACAATGCAGGGGCTAGCCAGGGAGGGCAGCCAGAGGGCGGTGATGGGCATGGCAGGAAGAGGGTCTTGAGGGGTGGGGTCTCAGCCTGTCCAGGGCCTCACCCCTCCACACTCCAGGTTGGCTGGCCCTGTAAGGGTTAAATTGTAGTGTAGGGCTAACATGTAGCCTGAAGAAATAACAGCTTTGTTTTAACACTGTAGATTAAGATAACAGCTTTGTCCTATCAATCAAGGGAACAAAAGTTTAAGGAAAATCAACTGGTTTAGTGTGATTGGATTGGGGCAAGGGCATGTCTGAACTGTTTCCACCCCCATCTGGGAACTATTTCTTCATTCTATCCCCCAGGTGATGATAAGACGATGTGGTCGGCTATAAAAACTCTGTATAAAAACTCTGTACCCCGGCTGTTCCAGACCGCACTCTGGTCAAGAGTGTCGGTCCCGATCGGTTGGCCTTGCCTCTCATTGTGATAAACTTTGTTGTGACTGTCACTGGTACCTGTAGCATTCTGTTTCAGGAGTCGTGTGAATGCAACAGGCCCTACAACCCTGGGCCAGACTTGGCCCCCTCAAGACTCATGGCCTGATACCTCACATCCTCAGGGGACAGCAGGCCAACTGGGCCTTGTCCACCTCTTGGGACAGGGCCAAGCACACCAGAGTCAAGACTAGAGTAACAGACACCCTTGGAGGACAGTCATCAAGTCAGCCACTCAGGAAGGTCAGGAATAATACCATAATCATTGACCCAATGATACCAGAGGGAAGAAGCAGCAGGAGAGGGAGGGGAGATCTGACAGAGGAAATCTCCCAAAAGGAGAAGAGAAGTAAGGGAACCCTCAGAGATAAGGGTGGTGGAGGAGAAACTTCTTCAAGGAAGGCCTGAGAAATGGAGACAGGACAGTGAGAGCCCCAGAAGCAGACTGTGTGATGATGAGGGAGTGTGGGGCAGGCTGAGGACAAAGTAGAAGCTAGCAACCCCCACCCCCTTGCCCTCAGGGGATGTGTGTGACATTCCTCAGGCACTCCCAGCTGCCCAAGGACAAAGGAAAGGACAGAAAACCAATGGTTAACTGATAGAGATCAGAGTCGCAGGCCATGAGTCTCCCTCCATCAGTTTACAAATATCTTCATATATTACAAGAAAAAGGCAATCTTACCAATAACCCAATCTCCAGAAACCTGTAGACCCAGTTTCCTGGAGCCCCAACATCACCTTCCCCTCCATAGATGTGGGGAACAAAGGCAAGAAGGAAATGGCAGGTGAAATTACATTTCTTTGTAACCTGCAGCCCGTTGACGGATACCCGAGGCAAATCCCCGTTTCTCCCAGAACCTCCTAGGTCTAATGCTAATGCCTTCCTGGAGGGAAAACAACCTCAGCTTGACAATAGCAAGGCCTCAGGTGTTTTAGGCATCTTCTTTAGCACATCGCAGTCCTTCTGGAGGCCCCCCTTTTGACTCTACCTCCTGAACTCCGTAGTATATAATCACTCGGTCTTCACAACCCCTGTGCAGCTCTTTCTGCCACGGGGCCCTGTCCCCGTGCTCTAATAAAATCACCTTTTTGCACCAAAGACGTCTTCAAGAATTCTTTTTTGGCCGTAGGCTCTGAAGCCCACCATCAGCCCCAAACCCCATCATGTGAGACTCTCAGTAAAGGGGCAGCAGACGGCCCACCAGCAAAGGGAGGGCAGAGAAGGCGAGCCCGCACCCACGCATTCTGGGGGCGAGAAAGAAATCCCAAATTTCAGGTGGCATCAGATTTCCCAGAGACAACTCCGCATTCAAGAAGGCAAGGGAGGGCCGCCTGGGTGGCTTGGTCTGTTAAGCGTCCGAGTTTGGCTCAGGTCATGATATCATGGTTCGCGAGTTCGAGCCCCACATCAGGCTCTGTGCTGACAGCTTGGAGCCTGGAGCCTGCTTCCAATTCTGTATCTCCCTCTCTGCCCCTCCCCACTCTCTCTCTGTCTCTCTCTCACACACAAAAAATGAGTAAGCACACACACACAAAAAAAAAACCAACCCAGAAGACAGTGGAATAATACTTAAGTATTAATTACTGAAAGAGAATGACTTTGTACTTGAAACATTAAGTTATCATCTCAGTGTAAGGGTGTAATAAAGATATTCTGGGGTACATAAGAGTTTGAAATCACTCTTGGAGGCAGTGTTCAAATAAAGCAGACCCAAACATAGGAGACATTACAGGAGAAAAAAGACACCAATAACGACAGAGTTTACTTTTGCCAGAAAACAATGACTAAAGAAACATACAACTTGCAATCTACATAACAATCTAGAGCTAAAATTCTAGATAACACTAGCACAACGGAGAGGGGGAGGGGGAGAAAATGCTGAGACATCTATCTGGTCAGAAGGAAGACACAAACCAAGATAAGGTTAAGAAATCAATCCAAAAAATGAGTAGGAAGGGGTCCAAGGGCAGCCACAGTAAGAACCCAAACAGAACATACTACAAAAACCAGCAGAAAGAGCTGCCCAGTGGAAACAGGAAAAGAAAAAAAATAATAAATGCAAAAGACTACACAGTAAATGGAAAATATGAAATGAGGTGACAAAATGTACTGATTTAACAGTTAAGTACAATTAGTCTTAATAACAGGAATCACAACTGCAATAATCATACAATAAATACTTTCACAATAAGTGTAAATGGGTCAAACTCACCAATTAAAAGACAGTGTCAAACTGGGTTTAAAAGAAAAAATTCAACAATAGGTGGTCTGTTAGACAAAACGCTTTAAACAAAGAAACATCAATAGGCTG